CAGGCCACAGAGCTCATCACCCAGGCCCTGCGGGACGAGAAGGCAGGCGCCTACCCTGCTGCTCTCCAGGGCTACCGAGATGGTGTGCACATTCTGCTCCAGGGGGTGCCCAGTGAGTAGGGGCTGGAGGGTAGAGGGTCAGGCCTGGGGTCCTAGATGGAGCAGTAAGGAAGGGAAAGTGAAAAGCAAGCAAGGACCAGGAGCCTTTCTCCTCACTGCCTGATGACCATGTCACTTTGAGAAGATTATTTTCCTTCCTCTTGGTTGCTTCAGTTTTCTTTTTAGTAGAATGGGGAGGAGAGACATGGTAAGTCCCAGGGAAGGGAGAAGGACACATGATGCTGCTCCGTGAACCGTAAGGGCTAGACCAGGGGTTCTGGGCTCAAGTACTCAGCTGAGCCAATCTCTCCACAGGTGACCCGTCCCCTGCCCGCCGGGAAGGTGTGAAGAAGAAGGCAGCTGAGTACCTAAAGCGGGCTGAAGAGATTCTACACCTGCACCTGTCTCAACTGCCGCCCTGAGGAGTGGGCCTTCCATAGGACTCTAGCTCCAGCACTGCCAGCCTCCCCCTCTCCTTCCCCAGCAACCCCAGGGGCCATTTCTGTACGTAACTGGACCAAGGAACACAATGGCTCCCTGCCTGCCTGCCTTCTTGGAGTCAGGACTCTATATGTGCCAGTATCTATCATGATGTGGCAGCAGCAGGTCTCGTCATTAAAACTTGTCAGTTTAGCCATCTGGAACTGGGGTCTGCAGACTGCAGCCTACAGCCAGATCTGGCCCATCACCTACCTTTTTTTTAAGGCCCACAGGCTAGAATGGTTGCTACATCTTTTTAATGGTGTGTGTGATGGGGAATCAAATGAGTAAGAGTCTGTGACTAGTGAAAATTAAATGAGGGCTGAGGTTGTAGCTCAGTGGTGGAGAGCTTACCTGGCACTTGTGAGGCACTGGGTTCGATCCTCAGCACCACATAAAACTAAAGGTATTGTGTCCATCAACAACTAAAAGAATTTAAAAAATAATAATAATAAAATGAAAGTTAAGTGTCTATGAATAAAAATTGTTGGAACATAACCAGGCTCAACCACATCTATGGCTGCAACCAGCAGATTTGAGTAAGGCGACCAGCAAATCCCAAAACAGTTTTTCTTTTTTCTCCATCATTCTGAGGATTGAAACCCGGGTCTCAGGCTTTCTAAGCACACCCACTCGATCTATCTGTCTGTCTGTCTTTCTTTCTCTCTCTCTTTCTCTAATGTTTTAGTTGTCAATGGACCTTTATTTAATTTTTATGCGGTGCTGAGTATCAAACCCAGTGCCTCACACATGGTAGGCAAGCGCTTTACCCCTGAGCCAAAACCCCTCTCCGCCTCTTTTCTGTTCTTTTGCGAGTGGGTCTAAGTTGCCCAGGTTGGCCTGGAACTTGTCCTCATGCCTCAGCCTCCCTCCTCAGGACTGCATCCTCGGACCGCTGCACCTATCCCAAGACATTTTCTACTTGACTCTTTGCAAAAAAAAAAAAAATAAATAATAATAATAGAATAGAGTATCTCCAGGGAAACAGTAGAGAAAGAGGTCGATAGAGCCAGTTTATTGAGTGAAAAGGAAGAGGGACGGAACCAAGACCGGGACGCTAATTTTGGTACCGCCCTAACCGACGGTTTAGTGGAATAAATCCCAGCAAGACCTAGGAGGCGTGGCCCCGCGGTGCCACGCCCCTCCCCGCCGGCTATTGGTTAGGGAAGGACTACAAACCGGTGCATCATGGGAGTGCCCGGCCTGCAATTTTTAAGGTAGAGGAGGCCGAGCGCGGCGCGTTGTGGGGGACGTTAGTGGAGCCGGAGTTCGCGAAATAGTGCTGGTATCGCCGGACTACAACGCAGTGCATCTAGGGAGCACGACTCTAGGGATCCGGTGAGAGGGCGGCGGTGGCGGGCCGGGAGGGCGGGGACGTTGAAGACCGGGCGGGGAGGCGGGGCGGGCCCAGAGAGGCTCGGCCCCGCCCCCCCTCGGCGGAGCCTCACCGGGCCTCCGCGGGCAGTGGCGTGCCCTCCCACACGATGGGGAGACCGGCCGCTGTCCCCGGGATTCTGAGCGCCCCCCCATCCCCGCAGCCCACCCATGCCCGGCAGCAAGCTGCCTGTGGGTATTTGCCCAGACATGTGCCCGGCCGCCGAACGTGCCCAGCGCGAAAGGGAGCGCCGCCTTCATCGCTTCGAGGTGGAGAGGGGGTGGACAGGGGACCCGCCCCGCGCCGACCCGCAGCGCACGGTAAAGGAGTACAATCGACCCGCTGCCGGCAAGCCCCGCCCCCCGCCGAGCCAGCTGCGTCCGCCCTCGGTGCTGCTGGCCACCGTGCGCTACCTGGCCAGCGAGGTGGCCGAGAGCCCCGACGCGCCCCTCGCGGAAGTGGCCAGCTTCGTGGCTGACCGCTTGCGCGCGGTGCGGCTAGATCTGGTTCTACAGAGCGCGGGCGACGCCGAGACGGCGGTGGTACTAGAGGCTGCACTGGCCACGCTGTTGGCCGTAGTGGCTCGACTCCAGCCGGCTGAGACGCGTGGGCCGGTGGACCCCGTGCTGCTGCAGACCCAGGTACAGGAGAGCTTCGGCTCTCTGCGGCGCTGCTACGCGCAGAGCGCAGGGCCGCACCCACGCCAGGCCGCCTTCCAAGGACTCTTTCTGCTCTATAACTTGGGTGAGTCGGCGTCCCAGCCTTACTGGCATAGAGCCAGGCACCCCTCCATGAGGACAGTGGAGGCAAAGAAAAGAAGTTTTAAAATCTCACCGTTAGAGGCTGGGGTCGCATGCTTAGCCCTAGATTCCATTCCCAACAGTAGCAAAGAAAGAAAACATCAGTTTCCTTCCAAAAACGTCAGTGCACAACCCTCAACATCAGACCCCAGACCCGACTTTTCCTATTTCAGAGTTCAGTTGTAATCCCAGCGACTCAGAAGGCTGAGGCAGGAGAGTCGAAAGTTAGAGACTAGCCTCAGCAATTTAGCAAGGCCCTTAGCAACTTATTGAGACCCTGTCTCAAAAAGAACTGAGAATGTGGCTCAGTGGTTAAACGCCTGTGAGTTCAATGCCCCCACTAATAAATAAATAAATGATAAACTAAAATGAAAGGCACAGGGTCGGGAGAGTTGGCCTTGATAGTGATTTTCAAACATTTTAAAATCTGCCTTCCCTAACAGTGTTGCAGAGATCACACGTGCCCAGGAACACATCTGACAGAAGTTTCAAGACTAGATCGATCCTTTATATGGGTGGTGCATTTTAACAAATTCAATTGAAATGAAATGCTCTTGACTTCACAGCTCACTAATGAGTCAGAAGCCTCAGTTTACAAAAGGTGCCCAAGTTCCCAGTGTCCTGTGATTTTCTGAAAGAAAAGAAGCAAGATAGGGGCTCCTTGAAGAAATGGCCTTCCCAGGCAGATGAGGATGGTTTAGTAGATCAGGCTCCCAAAATTGTGGGTACAGGGCAGCCAAGGCAGTGGGAAAATCAAGTGACAAAATTTCAATTTGGGTTAGGCCCTACCACATACTATCTCTAAGGCTCTCAGGCAAGCTGTTAATTTATTTGTTTCTTCATTCCCCATCATTCCCCAACACTGCCCACTTCTTCTCTATTGTAAGCACCTAGGCTGACACTGATATTTGGATCAGGTAAAGGCCTGACTGCAGGATCTTATTGGGGAAGTGGGGCAAGGTGGGCTGTGCAGGCAAAGGGGTATGGTCAAGTTGGGGTGAGCTGGACCAAGAACTGGAGTTGAGCCTCATGGAGGGCCAGCCCTGTCTGGCCAGAAGAGTGAGCATAGCTGAGTCTTGGAGCTGGTGGGAGTGGAGATGGGTAGGGCTTAAGGGGATGGGACCGGAAGTGGGCCTGATCCTAGAAGACCAGGCCTCATCCCAGCCTCCCAATTTCTCAGGCTCTGTGGAGGCGCTGTATGAAGTTCTGCAGCTGCCTGCTGCCCTTCGTGCCTGTCCGCCCCTGCGCACTGCCCTGGCCATCGACGCCGCCTTCCGGGAGGGCAATGCAGCCCGTCTTTTCCGCCTACTTCGGACCCTGTCCTACCTGCAGAGCTGTGCAGTACAGGGCCACGTGGGCCATGCCCGTCGTGCTGCCCTGGCCCGCCTCGCTCGCGCCCTTAGTACCCCCAAGGGACAGACTTTGCCTTTGGACTTCATGGTTCATCTGCTGGCCTTGGATGGACCTCACGAAGCACGGGACCTGTGTCAGGCCCATGGGCTACCCCTGGATGGAGAGGAGAGAGTTGTGTTCCTGAGGGGTTGCTATACTGAGAAAGGACTGCCACCTGCTGGTACCTGCAACGTGTTAGTGGGGAGTAAGCTCCGAGGGCGCACCCTGGAGGAGGTGGTCATGGCAGAGGAGGAGGATGAAGGTGTGTTCAGACCTTCCTAGGTCTGACATTAGGGGGACCTGGCATTAGGGGGATATATGCCAGCTTCCAGAGCTTCAGGACTGGGTCAGATCACTTAGGTTTCTTTTTTCATGATTCTTAGACCATAAAAGGAACTTTCTTTTTGGGACCAATGGCTGTACTTCATTTATTGGAGGGTACATAGAGAGGAGACTGTATGGGTGTGGCAGGAGAGGAAAACAGACTGGGCAAGGCCCTGTCTACCTGGATCTGAGTGTGCCTACGAGTCCATGAGGGGTGGCCTTGCTGATCTCTGAATTGGCCTCTAAGGTTGACATTATGCATCCTGCACTCACCAACCCACCAATGCCATCACTTGTTGGTTTTTCATCCCCTAGCAGCCCTGCCAGCCATTCTGCCAGCCAGATCCAGGAGGAAGGAGATTGGGACTTGCCACTCCCCTCGGTGTCCACACTGATGGAACTCCTAGCTGTTGCCTCAAGCTGGAGAGGGGACCATGATTATACATACTCTGGGCCTTGGGGGAGACTGGGACACACTCCGGGAAAATATATGGGAGAGGGTTAGGATAAAGGGAGATCGGAGGAGTACAGGCTGGGGTCAGAGTTCAGCCACAGGTCTCAGGGTGGCTGTTGCACCCTCCAAAGCTGCCACCACGATGCTGAGCTGTCTCTGCACCTCAGCCCAAGCTTCAGATCCGGCGTCTGTGTCCTTGGCCCTGTAGTAGGCATTGGCCAGGCCAGGGAATGTGGCAACAGAGCTGGAGTGAGGTGCCCAGAGCACATGGCTGATGAGAAATGGGCAGGCTCAGGGTTAGTGAAAGGCCCAGCCTGGAACTCAGCTGCTCTACACAGCCAGGCACAAAAGCCCCCACCCAACCCATCTGAAAGCTGCCATGTACAGTTTCATGGTGGGAAGACTGTAGATTAGAGTCCCCGATGTGACTGATTTGCCTCCCTCCCTGAGACTCACCTTCCCCTCTGCCTTAGACTAGATTGTGCTCCAAAGCAGCAAAGCTGCTATCTTCTTCCTGGCAGGTGGCCTTTGCCTGGCGCCTGCGAGGAGCTTTGGGACAGGCTCACCTGTAGTAGCGTTCCTCCGGGAAGGCTCTGGAGTTCAGGAAGGCCCGCTCTAAGAGCATCAACTGGTCATTGAACATCCGGACCTGCAGGGGGCTGGCAGAGGCAGGACCTGTGGCTCACCCTGCAGCCCGCAGCCTGGGTGCACCTTCCCAAACACCTGCCCTCTCCCTTGCTCACTCAGGGCTGCCTTTCCTCTGTGCTGACACATGTTGATCCAAGGCCGAAGCTGCTACTGCAAACTTCTCCACTGCCGTCACCAGAGGCCCTGTGGAGAATACCCAGGGCTTAGCTTTGCAGGTGCAGAGCTCCCCATGCCTCAATGTCAGGGGGTGTCCATACCCAGGCTGATGTTGTGCTGCTGCAACAGGTTCCCAAGTTCCTGCTGGGCAGCCCGCAGGAAGCTGTGGAGGACCTCACTGTAGTCACTGACATTGAGGGGCAGGAATAAGCTGTCACTGAGCCGAAGAAGCACATTCCCAGCTGTCTGGGCCACAGCTTGGTGGCTGCTAAAGCCTACAGGGAGAACAAGACCAGGCTATCTTCAGTTCATTCTCCTGTGGGTGGTCTCAGGATGCTCCTTGCCCCACTCCTCACCAGGGTCCAGAAACTTTTCCATATAATCAAAGGTGTCGAAAGCTGTGTGGTAGGTGGGGTAGATCCGGGCTGAGGTCTTGCTCTGGGGGGATAAGGCAGAGGTGATGGGCTTAGGATAGGAGGTGGAAGGTACACCGACAGCAAGCCACAATGTGTGGGAATTGTCAGAGTTGAACCCTTGGCACCTCCATGAGATGGATTCTACAATTCCCACTTTACAGAGGAGCAAACTGAGGCTCAGAGCGATGAACCTGCCAGACATCGCATGACTAATAGGAGGCAGAGCTGGCTTGGGTGCCAAATTCCAGTTTCACGTGAAGGAGCCTGGAGCCCTGGAGTCAGGGGGACTTAAATCCCAGCTCCATGCTCAGTACCAGTGTGGCCATGAGATGGAAAAAAGCCTTTATGGGACATCAAACAGGGAGACAGGCTGGCCACTCAGCATCCTGCTTCTCACTGCAACCTCACTCGATGCTATGAGTCCTCCCTATTTCATAACATTTAATCAATATTGAGATAAACTCCCCCCACACACACATTTTAAGATCTCAAGGCTTTCTATAATTAATGTCATTGTACAACCGATTGGGTTTTTTTTCTTCCCTCCTGAATAATGCATAACACAAGTTGCTTCTTAAAATCAGTAGTATCTTATATTTGACAAAGTAACAGATGAGTGTAAACAGACTCAGAGGTTAAGAAATTCAACATTAGGTAGCACAACTACTAAGCGAAGGAGCCAGATATAGTGTCTGCACTAGAGATTTAGAATTAGAGCAAGGGGCGTGGGTGCGCCTGCTCACCCGGTCATAGGTGTAGGTCATGTCCACGGAGGAGATGCCCAGGAAGTGAATGAAGGGGGCGTAGTCGCTGCCAGCACCCAGTGAGCCCAGACTGCGGGAAAGAAGTGGGCTGGCTGGAGGGCAACGGGCCGACCCGCTGCGCTTGGTCCCCATCTACGGTCCCCGGTCTCACCTGGGAACCGTGCCGTACACCGGGCTGCTGCGGTTGAAGTGCCGTTTCCAGTTGTCGTAGATACTGAGGCCGCTGGGGCCTGGAGAATCGATCTGGCCCAGAAGGGAATCTAGTCTTGGGGCGGGCACCCTCCCCAGCCCCAACAACCAGGCCTCCCCAGCCCCAACAACCAGGCGGGCCGTCATAGGGGTACCCTAGTCCCCTCAGTCTCCCGACCACCTGCTGTCCATCAGGTCTGACTCTGCCCACCTATACGGCCCCGCCCTACTCGGTCTACGCTCCACCCCGCCATGCCAAGTCCCCAGCACCTCCTTGGTTGCAGAGAAGACCACACTCTGGACAGGGGGTGTCCCCAGCACTCTAAGGGTAGCATTGGCTATGGGAGGAACAGAGAAAGACTACTCAGACTCCAGTCCCTTCCTTTACCTACCCACCCCCGTCAGGCCGGCGCCCTGCAGCGCCCACCCCGTACCCATCACTGCGACGTCCACGTTGATGTAGGCTACCGTGCGCTCCTGCAGCTTGCTGAAGAACTCCTGCCAAGGCGGGGGTCGACTTCGGTCCAGTGCTACCCAGCCCCAGAAGCCTCTCTCCATCCCCTGCTCTGTGGGGCTTACTCACCTCTGTGAATTCCGTGGAGCCTATGAGCCCGAACTCCTCTGCCCCCCAGCTGGCAAACACGATTGATCTGCGGGGACGCCAGGTGCCTGAGGATGGGGGCATAAAGGGTTGGAAGGCAACCAACCAGGATCCAAGGTGGCTTAGGGGAAAGGCTGGGGATGTGTGGGGGAGGGGAGAGCTAGAAGGGGGAAATTGGGGAGGGGGGAGTAGGTGACCGAATGGCCTGACACCCTTCAGCCAGACCTTCCAGGAGGCTCCATCCTTCTTCCAGTCTCCTCTCTGTGACAACCCACCCCAACACCAGACTCCCCTGTCAGGGGCTACTTTCTGCCAGGATGCCCCACCTCCCTTCCTCTCTGCAGGCATGTTAGGGAGGGGAATGGGGGAGAACTGGCTGGCTTGCCCCCTTGGGCCTTGCCTCCAGGCATCCCACGAAACATTTGCTGATAATCTCTGAAGGTACCCTCAAGGGCCTTGCACTGAAACAGGTCTTCTTACAACAGTATCTTGCGGGAGGTACTAGTTCTATCTCACTAGAAACTGAGCCACAAGGAAGTTAAACCACTTGCCTCGGGTCACACAGCTGGTAGGCACACAACCAGGTTCAAATCCAGGAGTGTGACTCCAGAGTCCTGGGGCTTATCCACTGCTCCAGTTGTCTCCCAGAGCATCCCACAGCCGGACTTCCATCTGCAGCCTGTGCCCACCCTGCTCTTGCCAGTTTCCATCCATCTTTGCCAAGACCCTGGTGGGTTCCACTTGCCCTTCCACCAGCTCCAGAACCCCCTGCTTGCCTGCTGCCAGTGCTCCCAGTTTTGCTCCTACCCCTGGCTGCAACTCACTTCCTTTCATCACTCACTTTCTTGTTTTAAATGAAAACTTTTTTTTTTTTAACCAGGAATTGAAGGGGGAGGGGGCTTAACTTCTGAGCCATACCCTCAGCCCTTTTATATATATTTTTTGAAACAGCGTCTCCCTAAGTTGCTCAGAGCCTTTCTAAGTTGCTGAGACTGGGTTTGAACTCACGATCCTCCTACCTCAGCCTCCTCAACCTGGGAAACAAGTGTGCACCCACCACACATGGCTTAAATTAAAACTTTTAAAGTATAACATACATGCTTACAATCACAAGTTCCCACATTCCTGCCCCAAATGCATAACCTAAATAGACTCAGACAACCCCAAATTGAGGGCCATATAACAAGACAATGCCCAGATCCAGCAAGGTGAAGCATGGCTAAGGGACTAGTACAGATGAAAGGAGCCTGGAAGACACACAATGTTTCATTCCCCAATTGGATCTTGGACCAGAAAATTCTTTTGCTATAAAGGTCATTATTGGGACAAGTGACAAAACTGTTAATTTCCTGATTCCAATCTTTGTACTGTGGTTGTAAGAGAGAATATCCTGGGCTAGAGATATAGCTCACTAATAGACCCTGTCTCAAAATAAAAAGTATAAAGGGCTGGGGGTGTAGCTCAATGGTAAAGCACCCCTGGTTTCAATCCCCAGTATTTAAAAAAAAAGTAAAAAGAAATTTTAGAAAATCAGTATGTGAGGAACAGGATTCACGCCTTCCCCTCAGATCTGCCTCGCCCTGCTTAGTGCTTCATCAGTGGTGCCTCCGTTGCTCAGGGTGAGCCTCCCCTTGTCCTCCCCTGTGCCCCCACCCTTGTCCAGCCTGAGGACAACAAGCTTCTGTCCCTCCCCCACAGTAGCCCAGGATAGACATAACATGTGCACTCCAAATGCTGCTCTCCTGATTAAAATCACTCCCCAGCTTACCACGACCCTTGGACCAAACCAAGCTCCCCATCTGTGACCTGGCGCTGCCCACTGAGCCACCTTGTCCAGTCCCAATAGTCTCCTGTTGGGAGCTGCCACATAGGAGCTGAGCGCCCCCTACCTTTGAGCAATGGAAAGGTGGAGACTGGTTTCTGCTGCACAGAAGCAGGTGGACCCCATCTCTGCTCAGCAGAGGAGAGAAGCCTTGGGAGTGGGCGTTACCAGTGGGACTGGACTGACCCTTGTAACATTACCCCTCTGCCTTATTTGGATGGAATGTTCTTTTGAACAGCCTCCCCCAATAAAACCAGGGTTCTAAGTGTGCCCTCTCTTTCAAAGGGACTTCTAAGGTTGAGAGCCATCCAGGGCTTTGAAAGGTATTTCTGTGTGCTTGCGTGCTTTCTTTGCCGTTTTCTTAAGTTATTGGTGCAGCCAGCTTTTGGGAACCCAGCATAGGTCGCCACCCCATTTAGTTGGTAAGATCCTCCCCAGCTGCTGTGCCCTTGCCCTCCTCCTGGATCTGCCTCTCCTGCTCTGAAGGGCTTGAATGCTACAGTGTCCCCTACAGAGAGACCTTTCCCACTCTTCATTGGCGGAACGAGGTCCAGCTCCAGCCAGGCAATGAGAAGGCTCTCGGAGTGAGAGCACACCAGTGTGTGAGTCAGTGAACTGCACCGGGATCCTGGAGGCCAAGGCTGGTGCCCATGTGTCTCTGCCCCCAGGGCCCTAGTCCTGGCACAAATGGGCACTGGAAACTGAGAGAGAGGAGGTGGCACAGGATGGTACTAGCTCAGGAAGGAGTGGGCTGGAGGTGACCCCTCGGGCAGAGAGTCCTTGGATTGGAGGAAGGAGGGCGACCTCACCTTTCTTCAGCAGGGTCCCCAGCACTCGAGAGATCTCCAAGAGAACAGCGGTGCCACTGCTGGGGTCCACAGCTCCATGTATCCAGCTGTCCCGGTGGTTTCCATACAGCACATAGCGGTCTAGCGGGAGGAACAGTGTCAGAGAAGCAGAGAAGAGGAAGGGGTGGGCGGGGTGTCCAGGCTGCGCTGAGGCCAGGTCAGGGCCCAATGAGGCTGGAGTGGAGTGGCAGGAGCACCGGGGCAGGGCAGGGTCCTGGCGCACAGGGAGCACACTGAGGGGCTCACCAGGCTCCACGGCCCCACGGATGATCCCCAGGACGTTGGAGGAGTTCCTCAGTTCCAGGCGATTGTAGACACTCATTTTCACCTGGCTGGGGAGGGGACAGATGTGACAGGGGTCTCCACCCAGTCCACTGTGTGCCCTGACCCAGTGCAGGAGAAACAGGTCCCGAGAGGGAAAGGAACATGGCAACATGGGACATGTCCCAAAGGACCAAAAGAGGCAGCAAGGCTGGAGCCAATCCTTCTTGCTGAACCCTCGAGGCCTTGCATTCATTATTCACTCAGTCAGTACTTAATGAGCACTTGGTGTCTGCGCAGCACCTTACTAGGCTCTGCACAATGATCCGGACAGATGGGGCCCTGGTTTTCACCTGGCCTCCCTCTCCTGAGCAAGACAGAACCCAGGAAGTGAACAACTAACTGTAGGTGGTGAGGGGCCTGGGAGAGGGAGTTCGGGTGCTGCAGGTGGCAGGGGCCCTGACTTGGGGGATCCATCCTTGGCATGTTCAAGAGAGAGTGGCTGCTGCGTGGGGGGGGAGGGGCAGAGGACCCCGCAGGACCTCCCAGGTCATGCAGCTGTTCACAGCCTTCCCCTAAGGCAAGACAGATATTTAGGGGACAGGGAAGAGCTGAGAGAGAGAAGGAGGAGAAGGCCAGGTAAGAGAAGAATAGCCAGGAAGAAGAGAGGTAGGAGAGAGAGGAGGACAGAGAAGGGCCTGACCTTACCTGCCATCAGGGAGGCTTCCAGAAGATCGGAAGCCCGGGCCCAGTCTGTACTCACAGCCCAGAGCTCCCTGCCAGGCAGATGGCGCCAAGGTTCCATTGAGGTTGCTGGGAAGAGCGAGAGAGGCCCTCCGGAATGAATGTGGGTGTGGAATTGAAGGCTGCGTGCCACTGGGGGCAGGCAGGGGACTGGGGCACAGGCTCACCAGAGCAGGTCTTTGGCATCCTGGAAACCAATGGGCTGTGCAGGAATCGGGGGGAATCCAGAGGCATTGCTATGGTCCACGCGGAAGGAAGAGTGATGGGCTGGAAGGTAGGGAGTCACAGGGTCCCCAAAATACTTATAATAGGATCCTCTTTCCACACCTGAGGGAGGCAGGCCCCAGGAGTTTGGGAAGGTCTGGCTTGGCAAACTCTGCCCATCATTGACGTCCATGGGGTCTGTATACACCAGCACCCCGGCCACCCCATACTTGGCAGCATTCACAGCCTGCAGGAGGCAGAGGAAGCTGTGTGTCAGGGAGGGATGAAGGCAGGCACATCTTGCTCCTCTTTCTCCTCTGCCATGGAAGACAGGATGGATCTATCTTCCCACAGGCAAGATGATGTTTGTGCAAGACCTTTAAGGTGGTGCTACTTGCAGCAGCAAACGACTGTTCATTGGGCATAGCCAAGCTAATGCCTATCAGTGGAATTAGTTAAATAAATGGGGACATCCTGTGATGGAATACTATGCAGCTATGGGACATGTACTTCTACAACCATGTTCATAGCAGCATTATCCTCAAAAGGTGGAAGCAACCCCTATCCATCAAGGGATGAATGGATAGATTAAATGTGGTTTGTTTTATAATGTGCAATGGATAGAATATTATTCCTACTTAAAAAGGAGGCAGACACAGTAGTGCACACCTATAATCCCAGCTACTTGGGAGGCAGGAGGATTTTAAGTTCAAAGCCAACCTGAGCAATTTAGTAAGATGCTGTCATAGAGTAAAAATTTTAAAAAGCTGGGATGTAGTTCAGTGGTAGAGCATTTGCCTAGCATGTGTGAGGCCCTGCCTTCAATTCCCAGTACTGCAAAATAAATAAATAAATACATTAATTAATTAATTAAAAAGGAATAAAGTGCTGAGACCACATCAGTGAACCTTGAAGAGGTTCTGTTAAGTGAAATAAGCCAGACCAAAGGATAAATATTACTTGAGTCCTCTTATATGAGATGCCTAGAAGAGGCAGGATTGCAGAGGCTGAAAGTAAAATCCAAGTTACCAGGGGTGGAGTGTTGGGTGGGGAGGGGGTATTGTTAAGTTGAATTTCTATGTGAAATAATGGTAAGGTTCTGGAAATGGACAGTAGTGATCTTTAACATTGTAATGTTCTTTGTGTGTGTGGTCGGGGGAGGTCCTGGAGATGGAGCCCAGGCCCTTGAACACACTAGGAAAGCGCTCTCTCACTGAGCTGCATCTCCAGACTTTTCATTGGTTTGTTTGTTTATTTATTTATTTATTAGCTGTAGATGGACCTAATACCTTTTTTAAGCTTTTTATTATCATTTTTTAAATGTGGTGCTAATGCTTGAACCCAGTACCTCACATGTGCTAGGTGAGTGCTCTACCACTGAGCCACAACCCCAGTTCCTATGTATTTATTTTTATTTGAAACAGGGTCTTGCTAAGTTGCTGAGGCTGGCCTCCAACTCATGATCCTCCTGTCTCAGCCTCCCGAGTTGCTGGGAAGACAAGCTTGTGCCACCTTACCTGGTTCTTTTTCTTTACCTTGCTGTTCCTTTTTTCTTCCCTCCCACTTTTCCTCTCCCCTTTTTTCTTATCATAGGCACTATTCAAAAATTATGATAAAATACACATATAATGAAATGTATTATCTTAACTGTTTCATTGTATGTTGGTATTAAATGTGTTTGTTGTGCAACTACCTTCACCATGGATCTCCAGAAGTCTTATCATCCATCGTCCTGCCAATCTGTCAATCTATGCCCTTTAAATCCTAACTCCCATTATCCCCTCTCATTGTATGCCTTTTTATATTAAAAAAAAAATTAAACCATAGGTACACAATATCTAATTTAAAATTTTTTGAAGGGAGGGAAAACAGAGGATCATGAACTGAATCCGATTTCCATTCATATATGAGTTTGTTGGGATGAACCCAACTACTATGTATAAGGTTCTCATTATTTATTTATTTTTTGTTTTTGGTAGTGCTGGGGATCAAACCCAAGGCCTTGCGCATATCAGGCAAACATTCTGCCACTGAGCCTCATCCTCAGCCCCTGAGTCAAAAATTTCAATTGAAAAGAATGACAGGGTCTGGCGCAGTGACCCACACCTGTAATCACAGCGGTTTGGGGGCTGAGGCAGGAGGATTATGAGTTCAAAGCCAGCCTCACCAAAAGCCAGGCACTAAATGACTCATTGAGACCCGTCTCTAAATAAAATACAAAATAAGGCTGGGGATGTGGCTTTAAAGCCAGCCTAAGCAATTCACTGAGACCCTAAAATATTTTTTAAAAAGGCTGGGAATGTGGCTCAGTGGTTAAGGGCTCCTGGGTTCAATTCCGGGAACCAAGGAAAAAAACGAAAGAAAGAAATGACAGGGACTGGGGTGCAGCTCAGGGAGAGCGCACGTGCTTCACGTACATGAGGCCAGGGTCGCATCCCACCCCCAAAAAGAAGAAAGAAAAAGGAAATGGCAGGGAGGGGAGCAATAAGAGGAACTCAAGTTCAACATTCAGAACTATCACAGGAAGATCTGAACTCCAAGAATATCAAACCTGAAGGTTTTGCCCCATCCCTTCACCACTTAAGGCTCCAAGAAGCTGGAGAAAGCACCCGAGGCCACAGCCTGGCAGCGGCCGCCCCAATACAACGCCCCTTCTCGCCTCCAACCAGGCTCCGCCCACGCTCCCCGCTGCTGCCACGCCTCCCCGCTGCTGCCACGCCTCCCCGCTGCTGCCACGCGGCCCCTCTTCCCCCCTCTGTCCTCTGTCCACTCCGGCCCCTCCTCCCTCTGAGCCCTGCACAAGGCTGCTCTCACCTTGTCCCCACGCCCTGCACCCCCATAGCGGGTCAGGGCAATGGTGCCCTCGAGATTGATCCCCTGCTCCTGCAGCTCCTTGAAGTCCTCTTCCTTGCCCTGGTACGCGTAGACGAGGAGGCCCTGGTGCCCAGAGGAGGTGACCCTTAGAGCCAGCTGAGCCCAGGGCAGGTGGGGAAAAGGGCAGGAAGGTAGGATAGCAGGGCGAAGGATTTAGACTGTCTCCCCACCTCACCCAGAAACATGAGCACCCCAAGGTCGGTCACCCTGAATACCCTGAGTGGGTATGGCCTTGAGCAGGGGCCATGATGTTTGTTGAATGTCTAAGTGACAACGGAGGGGGTTGCTGAGCCCCTGGATCAGAGCAAGGAGAAGCCTGGGTGGGAACCAGGTGGGTTGGGAACCAGGGGGAGCTGGGCGATGTCGGCCGGTATTCCAGTCCCACCTGCGGGGTTCCGGGGGGCGCGTAGGCTGCATAGGGTTGCACCACATCAGGCCCCCCCTGCTCCCCAGTCACATTCTCCTCGTTCGGATGGTAGGTGTGGAGGATGTCCCCAGTGGGGCCCACTGTGGAGGGGGACAGAGTCAGGGCCGGGCGGCTCCTCTCACCCACCCGGGCATCCCACGCCTGGGCAGGATCTCACCGACTTCCACGAGGTTAGGCTGCTCCTGGCTGGGGAACGATAGCAGCACCTCATACTCCGTCCTCTCTGCTGAGTCCAGGCCGGACTCTGAGTCCCTCCAGCGACTCAGCAGCAGTTGCACCAGGGCTTCATCACGGGGGCTGGAGGCCAGGTGCGGCTGCCTGGAGAGTTCCCTGCAGAGTGGCAGAGGAAGGGACGGGCACAGTCAGGGAGGGGACCTGCAGATCGAAGGAGGAGCGGGCAGATCTGCCTCTCACCAAAGGTTCTCACGGATCTTGCTGGCATCCAGCTGCCCCATGACAGCCTTCAGGAGCTCCAGGTCCAGGTCCTGGAGGACTGAGGTGCTGGGGGCCGGTGCATCCGCCCCTTTGGGGATGGCAAAGTGGCCCAGGATGATCCCCAGCCCCAAGAGGGCAGCAGCCCCCAACCCCAGCCCTAGCACCTTCACCCACTGCATCCTGTGGGACCTCAGCCAGCTGGGGTGGCCCTGGCGAGGGCCTCCTTATAGATGGGGTGTCAGGCCTAGTTAACCATTACCCCAGGGGTGGTGTTGCCCTTTTGACCCTGGATGGCCAGGGAATAAGGGAACATCTCCCGGTGAGAATCAGGAGCTGTCACATAGACCACATTCTGCATTGTTCATCTGGAAGGGAACTCTGAGGGCACCAAGGCAACATGGGGACACCAAAGGGCAGAGATGTAAAACAGACATTGGGCCAGGTCTGGGACTCAGAGCCCCTATGTCCAGAGCAGGTTCCTGCTGTGCCACAGTCACTGCCTATCTTCCTTGGTGTCCCTTAGTCTCTGGCACAGCCTGCCCTGCATCCTTGAGCATACCTGAATTTAAATTCCATCCTTGCTTGACATAAGCTATGTGAGCTTGGGTAAGTTACTTAGCTTCTCTGAGCCCATTTTCTTAGCTGTAAAATGGGGGATAATAGACCTACTTCACAAGACTGTGGTGCTATCTTCATTAAGCAAGATTAAATCTATAAATATCTAGTCCAGCAGGGTGTGGTGGTACACCCCTGTAATCCCAGCAACTTGGGAGGCTGAGTCAGGAGGACTGCAAATTCACGGCTAGCGTCAGCAATTTAGCAAGGTCCTACACCTTAGAAAGATCTAGCCCAGTGTCCATCATGTAGTGGGAGCTCAGTAGATTTTAGTCACTTCTCCCTAGAGCTCAAGGAAGAAGGGGACCTGAGTGAATATTCTGTATTTATCCAAGTGGGCCCCGCTGTGGAAGGAAGTAGGGCTCTTGGAAAGGGGGGCTGTTCTGGAGGCAACAGCGGAAGCCATGCAAGGTGTCTTCCTCCTCAACCTCTTGACCCATCCTTCTGCTCCCTCCATTCACGGTTTATTTCCTCCTTCACTGACAGGTACAGACATTGCTCATTCATTTGGTTCTAAGTGAGGCCTATATTGGGCCCTGGGGAAGCAAAGTCCAGACGGACAGGCTTGATGATTATCAGTGCCCAGAATATAGCCTTGAATTTTATCAGCAGCCATCAGCGTGGGGAGCACACACCTTCCTCACAAGGACACAGGAGGGCAGACACCAGCAGGCAGCCAGCCAGTTGCCAAGGTTGTTTGAGGACCAGAGATGGCGGCCCCACGGGTCCTGGAAGGATTTAGTCCTTTGATCATGTGAAGTCATAGACAGCACACCCACCGGGCGAGAGCTAGTGGCATCTGAGTGGGTGACAGCACTGTGAATGTGGTTTACACCTGAGAGTGTAGAACTCTCAGGAAATCAGCTCTGGCTGTTGGAGTCTGACATGAACTGGTTGATTTTCTTCCCAGCACCTTGGACTAGACTGGGGGACACCATTTAAGGTCCTTGGGCCTGTGAGCACACTTTGATCCCCTCCACACAGTCCTTCCGCACCTCCAGGGAGGTCACCCCATTGCCATGTTCCTTTCCTCCCTCGCCGCCCTCCTTGTCCAGTCTGAGGCCCTTCAGACCCTCTCAACCCCACTGATCCTTTCAGCATTGGTCACATTTACTGAAACCACACCCTGATGGCAACGCTGCCCCTGTACCCTTGCCCTTGAATGTGCCTGCAGTGTCATCTGACGTGTGGGCCCCTAACTCTCACAGGCACTTAGATGGGGATTTTTGAAGTCTCTCCTCTCTTTCAAGCGCCGACACCTCTCCACCCATCTCAGCTGATGACTGTGCTTCCTCTGTCACCAGGAAAACTAGAGGCAGCTGGAGGGCAGCTCCCCACTTGCACTCCCAGCCCCACCCGCCTCCTGGGCCTTCCCTCCTGCTCCTGCTCTGAGAGACCCACACCCCACCTAAGGCCAGTCTCTACCCTGGGCCCTGGAGCCCAACCCTGGCTCCATTGAAGGACTGTGGCTCTGTCCTGCTCCTCCACTCTCCCTTAGAAGGCCGTTTCCAGCCACCTAGGACACCCACTTATGGTGTTTAACACCTCTTTTGAAAAAACCTCTTAGCCACTTGCCCTCCAGTACCTGTCTTCTCTTTCTGTTTCCTTTTATGATGACAAATAGGTCTAGGCTTGTCTTCAGTGCCTCCTTCCCCATTCTGTCGTTTTTTTAAAAAAATTATGATTATTTTTTTCATTTTTTAGTTGTAGTTGTCAATACCTTTAATTTTTTTATGTGGTGCTGAGGATCGAACCCAGGGCCTCACACATGCTAGGCGAGCACTCTACCGCTGAGCCTCAACCCCAGCACCCCCCACATTCTGTCTTGAAGCCACTCCAATCAGGCTTCACCCACCACTCCACTAAAAGGGCTCTGCAAAAAGTCAGTTGTCCTTCAAATTGCTAAATCACTTCTGCACCCCTCCCTCCCTCCCTCCTTCTCCTCCTCCTCTTCCTTTGTCCTGAGAATTGAACCAGGGTGATCTGCCACTGAACTACACCCCCAGCCCTTTCTGTTTTTTATTTTGAGACAGGATCTCACTAGACAGGATCTCACCCAAGCTGGCCTGGAACTTGCAATTCTCAGCCTCCTGAGTTCTGGGATTGTGGCATGCACCACTGTGCCGGGCCTGTCTTCTCCTAGTGTGACCCGGAAGCCAAACTTTCTGACTGAGATGCTCAATTAGCTGGGTGTGGTGATGCATGCCTGAAATCCCAGTGACTCCAGAGGCTAAGGCAGGAGGATTGCAAGTTCAAAGCCAACCTCAGTAACTTAGTGAGGCCCGAAGCCACTCAGTGAGACCCTGTCTCTAAATAAAATATAAAAAAGGGCTGGGGATGTGGTTCAGTGGTTAAGGGCCTCTGGGCTCAATCCCTGGTATTCCTCCCAAAAAAACAAAAACAATGCCTTAGACACCTAAATCTCTTGGCTTCCAGGATCTCACGCGGCCTACTGTCTCCCTCCTTTGTGGCTGCTGTTTTGGTCCTTCTGTTGGGAACTCTTCATGTCCTGGCCTCTCGCTGTCACAGAGGCCCAGAGCTCAGGCTCTCTTCTCTATTTATACCATTTCCTAGACAACCTCGCTCAGCATCATGGCTTTAAATACTGTGGTGGCCAGCCTCCGAGCTGGCCTTGAAGGACAAGAGGAAACTGCACTGTATCCAAGGTTAAGTTCCAAAAGATATGGTGGCTTCTGCCAGATGAGGTGGCACACTCCTGAAATTCCAGTGACTCAGAAGGTTGAGGCAGGAGGATTGCAAGTTCAAAGCCAGCCTCAGTAAACTAGTGAGGCCCTAAGCAACTTAGTAGGACCCTGTCTCAAAATAAAAAAATTAAAAGGCTGAGGATATAACTTAGTGATAAAGCACCCCTGGGTTCAATCCCCAATACCAAAAACCAACAAAAAACCCATCATGGTTTCTGCCTGGCTCTCCCTTGGATCCTTTGCCAGCTGTTATGAGCACATTCAAGCAGCCCTGTGGACAGGCCACATGGTGAGGGGCCATCTGGGAAGTGTGTCCTCCCGGGCCAGCCAAGCCTTCAGAAGACTGCAGCCTTGTTGACATCTCAATTGCAACCTTGCAAGAGACCCTGAGCTTGGACCACCCAATGAAGCCACTTCAACATTGCTTACTCATGGAAACTGTGAGAGATGGTAAATGCTCATCAGTTTAAGCTGCTAGGTTTTGGAATGGTTGATTCACAGAGATGACCAATACGAATTACCTCAGTAGGTTGAAAGCCCCCAAATTTATCCCCAATATGAATCTATCCTCTGAATTCCTGTATTGTTTCCAGCTGCTGCTTGCACGCACACTTGGGTGTTCAAGAGGCACTCCTACAGAACACACCCAAAACTTGGCTCCTCATCTTTCTCTGCAGGCCTCCTCCTCCCACTCTGAGGCTCCACTTTAATTAACAGCAACTCCATCTTCTAGTCACTTGTGCACAAAATCAGGGAGTTATCTTTTTATTCCTGTTCCTCTCATATTCTACTTCCAGCCTATCAGTACAAATCCCGAATCCATCCTGGTCCAAGACTCTGTCATCTTTCCCTGGATTGTGGCAATAGCCTCTCACCTGCTTCCCTCTGATTTCTTTATTGTCCCTGGTCCCAGTCCATTTTCTGTCACTATAATAAAGCACAGTGGACTCAGTGATTTACAAAGGAGTTTATTTGGCTCCCAGTTCTGGAGGCTGGGGTGCAACACCAGGCCACGGCACCTGGTGAGGGTCCTCCTGGTGGCAAAGCCCTTCTGGATGAGCAGGCATGGGCAAGGAGACAAAGCACAGGGGCACACTTAATGTTTTAACAACACACTCTCAAGATTATAAGTCCACTCATGACAGTGGAGTCCTGGGGACCTACACACCTCCCGTAGGAACCGCCTCCCAACACTGCCATGCTGGGAATTAAGGTCCCAACACATGAAACTCTGGGGGGATATGTCTAGACCACAGCACCCATTCAGTCCATTCTCCACACAGCAGACAGTGACCTTCAAAACAGTCACTGCTGGCTCACAGCCCTCCAAGGCCATGTGACTCTGTGACTAGGTCACTCCAGTGGCCCTAGAGCCCTTCATGTCTACAACCTCATCCCTTTTTCCTCCCCACATTCATTCTGTGCTTCCACTATCCCTGATCCTGCCAGGCACCTCCTCACTCAGCACTCTCAATCTGGCCACCTATTCAAGGAAATTGCAGCACCATTTGGTGGGGCAGGAAGCCTGTGGGGAGCACAGGAACGAGAACTTGCCTCCACTGCAAAGTAACAGACACTCGCTGAGCGCTAGCACCATGCCACACCACGCTCAAAACTCCACCAGGCAAGTGGGTCACCAGCCGTTTTGCTTGGGAATAATTCCTAGGAGCTTAAGTCGAGCCAAGTCAGAGGTCAGAGGAGCCAAAAGCTGAACTTGTATCCTCTTGGCTGGTATCTCCTTGCAGTGTGCCCTAAGCAGAGATCATCCATGCCCTCTCCAGGTCACGCCAGAGACTAACTGAAAGGATTCTACTCGACTGGGCTTTTATCATTGGTTAGGGCTGAGGCTCTGTAAAGTT